TAAAATTGACCGCAAGCAACAATATGTGTGGCTCTGTGTGTGTTTGCGTGTGTCTCTGCTTCTGGGATATTGTATCCTACAATAATATTTCTTTATCAATTTCCACACAAGCTCAGGCTCAGAGGAGCTTAGTGCTGGGAAAAGCAGCAAAAACAAGAAAAACACGAAAAACCCAAGAACACCAAATAGATGAGACGCAAAGAGGGCGAATGCCTAAATAAATGTTTGACCAACCAAGCAAGCCGAACCATATCATACCAGTGCCACGCCCATTCAATCAACACACAGAGCAGCGACTGTCATGCAGTACATGTCCTTGGCCAAATTGGCCAGGCTTTCATGGTGGCCCTGGAGCTTCCTCTGCGGGATTTTCCGATTGTTTTCCACCGGCCCACAGACACAGCTGTGTCGCAATTAAAATGTGTATCAAGCATACGACGCGTTGCCATGTAAACCGCTTAAGCCCCGCCCAACAATGTAAAGTCGATCGAGTAAATATGTTAAGCCCGCTTAATGCAAACCTAGCCCGGAGGCGTTCGGGGGCGTGGCCCCCATCCCCCATACCCCATCCCGCAGCCCGCATATGCCAATTGATGTTTGCCTGCGGGGGAAAAGTGCAACATCATTAATTAATACACAGGACGCCGGTGCCCGGCCTGCGGCTACGTTTTATAATAACCAGAACATTAAGGCGATTAAAGATGAAATCCAGTGCAACCCGTCCCACATCTAAGTGCGCACTTAATCCCCTTGCCGAACACCTGCGTCCCCAATCGCTCATGCCCCCCGAGTCCAGGACCTCGGCCAAGACACGGCCCGTTGACAGCCCAACTCGTCTCAGATCAATATTGGCCAAGGGCAATTAATCATTTAGTGGGCCATCTCACACACGTAGTCCAATGCAGAGACACCGAATGACAAACAGAGGGGAGGAGACTGGCCAATGGAGCGGAGGAGGGCGCAGGCAAAAGTGGATTATGCAGTCAGCCCAGATGTTCAACAAGAAATTACTTGTGATTACAACGCACAGTCCGGTGCAGGGATATAGGAGTCTTTCGCTTTTAGTAGACGACAATGAGGTCATTCAAGTCCATAGCCCTGCCTTATAAAATAGGTGATAGCCCAACTCCAGAAGATTTCTTTAATGGCAGTCATATTACATGACAGTTATGCAGCGTTATTAATATTAACAAAAACTAAATCGAATTACTGAGAGTAGGTCTCACAGAAATGTGATTAACGATGTGATCTCTAAAAGAGAATGCAATTGTTATAAAAAAAAACTAGCGATAATAATCCTACCACCACATGCTTTAAATTTGCTTGCGCTTAACCGCGTTTATAACTATTTAATAGCTGCAGAAAGGACTGTTAACTTTATGCCCCAACTAGTGGCTTACAGCTAAGGATACCAATCATGGGATTACGGACGAAAAGCAGTTTATTTATTAAGAGCCGCGCCCGGTGGATGCGTGTGCGCAGGCACTTGAGACATTCGTCCCTGGCCACATAACGCATACTAAACGATCATTAGGTGGACCTCCAGAGCAGTCCCTCCCATCTTGTCGCGCATTTCGCATCAAATTAACACACAAATTTTTACAACCGAGGCCATAAAATCGCCGAGCTGAACTATAAAAACAATCAAAACGAGTTACAGACCCGCCAATTTTCTTAGGTTTTTCTCGCCCATGTCGTAAACTCGACCCGCCCGGTGCTCCCGATAGCTCCGCATAGCTTCTTTACAGCGGTAGTAAATCATAAAAAGGGGCTAGAGCAATAATGAAAAACATGAAATGCTGCCCGAGAAGGGGACACACATTAAAGGTTTAAGAAAAATAAATAAACGGATGGAGTGCACGAGGCACCTGGACTAGCTGCTTAATTAAACGATGCACTCACCTGCTCCTAATTTCATCCTTATCCTTTCCCTTTCGTTTTCCAGGTTCAAGAGCCGCACTGTGAGATGCCTGGCATCGGCGACATATATCGTGCGGCAGATCTGCAACCTTGGCATCACCGTGTACACTCCCAGCGTGGCCCTCTCGACGGTGATTGGCATACCCTACTGGGCCTCCATTACAGGCATGGCCGTCATTTGCATATTCTTCACCATTATGGTACGTTGGGTCCGGGAATGCCAGCGATTTAATGATGAAAATATTTAAATTCCTGTTCACCCTTGTTCCAACTCATTAGGGCGGCCTGAAGGCGGCTATCAACGCGGACGTCATCCAGACAGTGACCATTCTGGTTGTCACTGTGGCCGTGTGCATCCAGGGAACTATCTCTACGGGCGGCGTGAAGAAGGTTTACCAACTAAATCGGGACAATGGTAAGCCACCAGTGGGTGTGGGATTGGTTTCGATTGATCATGGCAGCTTATTAGCCAGCTGCCAGGATGCGAATATGTGTGTGTATAGTGCTGACGAATGATGACTATTAAAATGGCATCCATTGTGGCATGGCATCCACTGCCGTTTGCTTTGCTTCTGTTTCTGCGCCGGCTCATTATGCACATAAATGATGATGATAAAAGTGGCATAAAACAGCGGCATCCGAATCCGAGGGAGGAGGAAATGGCAGCCTCGCATGACGACAGTAATAAATGTGTGTCGGCGGAGCGTTTGTCACTCGAGTTTGAGTTGTTGGCTGTCATTGTGCGGCAATCGTGGGGCTCCTGGGAATCCCTCCACGTGCTCCTCCTCTAACGGCAGCTCAATCTTTTTCCCGGCATAAACATGCACTAAAGCCTCCATCTCTTCTATTTTTTAGGACGCCTCAACTTCTGGAACTTCACGGGCGATATGACCGTCAGAGTGGATACCACTTCGGCCTGGTTGGGCCAACTGTTCATGTCCCTCTCGCAGATCGGCTGTCAGCAGAACTTTATGCAGCGTTATGTCAGCCTCAAGTCGCTAAAGCAAGTGCGTCGGTAAGTAGCTATTTTCGGAGAACCACCTATTAAGGAAAATCTATTAGTTATTGAAATATCTTATCATATCTTGCAGAGTGATGCTGACCAATGTGCCATTGGTGTTCTTCTTCTTTTCCATCTCCTGGATCTCTGGCATGGTCATCTACTCCACGTACATCAACTGCGATCCCTATGCCGAGGGCTACATTAAGAAGCCCGATGAGATTCTGCCATTCTTTGTGGAGGATCAACTTGGTTTCCTGCCCGGCTTTGTGGGCATTTTCATGGCCACCCTGTTCAATGGCGCCCTTTGGTAAATAGCTGAAATTTGGAAAAGTGCATCCGCTAATCCAAGATAACGCTTGATTATAGCATGATGGTGTCGAATTTGAACTCATTGGCAACCGTTATTTGGGAGGACTTCATCTCACAATTGCCAAAATTCAAGGGACTATCCGACAAGCAGCAGCTACGAATTCTGAAGTCGATCACCGTGGTCTGTGGACTGATTATCATGGGCGTGGCCTTCGGAGTCGGTCTGTTGGCGGGTGTCATTGAGTCCTCGCTACTGGTGTTCTCGGCCACCTCGGGTCCTCTTTTGGGTTGCTTCATCCTGGCCATGATGGTACCCATTGCGAATTGGAAGGGCACATCCGCCGGCATGGTCACCGCCTGCGCCTTCGTGCTTTGGATCATCGGCGGTGGCATGACTGTCACCAAGGACAATCCCTTGCTGCCCACCTCCACAGATGTGGGTTTTTATAGCTTTTCGTTTTATATTTGATTCCCTAAAACATTCCTTCGTTATGCTGTAGGGATGCACCAACGATACCTTCGCGCAGTCCATTGGCAAGCCCATCGTTGAGCCGGGACAGATGCCCTGGCTGATGTCGCACACGCCTGTTGATGGTTTTAACCAGAGCTTTGTGCCCACGCAACCCACAATTGCACCTGAAAGGTGAGATAGTCGACTAATTCTTAAGTACAATAATGCGTAAGACGTACTGACCTGGCGAAGGTGCCCACAAGAACTTTGTAATCCTGATATTAATCCTATTATATTCTTGATTCCACTGCAGATCCGGACTGGAAACCTTCTATTCGATCAGCTTCATGTACTACAGTTTAATTGGAACGGCCCTGACCGTGATCATTGGCACAGTGATCAGCTTGTTGACTCAGCACCCGGATGACGCCTACGACGGCAAGCTGCTGCACCCGTTGATCTTCCGGCTGTGCGAGCGCTTCTCCGGCCGGAAGCCGTACTACGTGAAGCACGAGGAGGAGTCCGGACTGAATGGGCGGAGCAGCAGCGATTCCTCGGCCACGACAACGACATGCAAGGAGGAGAAGGTGAATCACGGGTACGAGTCCTCGCCGGAGGACAAGGTGAAGAGCAGTCCCATCGCCGTGGTCTTCACCACCTCCGAAGGAACGGGTTCTGCGGATCAGCAGTCGATATGCGACAGCAGTAGAATCCAATTGGACATTGTGCCGGGCGAGGGCGAAACGGGAGTGTATCGCCAACTTGCCGGTCGATCTGCGCTCTGAGGGTTGACTATGTAGCATGCGTAGATAGTTTGCCCCAACCACTTAGTCCGTAGTCCGTAAGCTAAGCCCTAGAATAGAACAATTAGTTAGCCAAGTGTTTCATGTCTATAAAGATGCTGTGATTTCTGTGCGCGACTGTTGTTGAGCAATTGCTCGCGCATTTCATTCGCATGTACTTAACGCATATGTGTGTGCGTGGCAGCATGCAATAAATAAAGACAAATAAACGTATTTTTATAAAAACTCACCCGAAGAATCGCATTTTGGACGCCAATTTTCACTTTACGCGCGCATGAACTTGCTAAACTTGGTCAGTGCTGCCCATCAAATTGACCTATCGATAACTGAGATGGCCAGGGCAGCGGGAGTGCTGCGTGAGTCACGACTGGTACATTAAATTGCAATGGTAATTAGGTAATCAACGTATACACGTCAAAATAAAAATACAAAATAAGTTGCTTATGTATCTTACGAGTCATCATATTTGAGATGAATACAGATTATTATATCGCGCTAGTGCCCGTGAGCCTTCGTGACTGCACACAGCTGTTCTCCGGTTTCTCCCATCACTATTATATTTATGGGGAATTTTGTTTGGCGGTGTTGCGTTCCCCATAGAATGCAAAAATAAAACGCAAAAAGGTTGTTCACTAGGAAATCAAACGTGAATCATGGCCACGTTAGTGAAGCCCAAAAAGGAGGTGAGTCGTGGCCAATAAGAAGTTACAATCTAAAGCCTAAAATTCAAATTGCAGAAGAGCAAGAAGTCTTGCAACAGGGAACCGATCCAAAAAGAAGAAGAAGAGGAGCATGCTGAGTTATCAACAAGTGAAGAACAAAGACCATCGGAAAATGTGTCTCTGCTGGAGGAGTTCCAGCGAGTGGCGGCCTTGGCCAGCAGTTCCAGTGGCGAGGCAATCATAAGCCACGAGTGCTGTATTTCCAGCGATGTAGCAGAAACGCCGCAAGAGCCAGAAACACAGGAACCCTCAGAAACGGAGGCCCAACCCAGTGCCCCAAGTGCCCCGCCCCCGTCGACTGTTCACATCGTTCAGTACCCCAACCTGCAGCCCATGCAGATGTCCAACGCGCGGGTGGAGGAGCATTCTGCTAAGATTGTGTACCGACAGGCGGAGTCTCCAACGGGTTTCGCTCTGGCCAGAAGTCACATTAAACCATTGAGTACGGAGGAACTGCGGCAAATCTACGATTGTCCCGATCTGGAGCTGGCCAAGCAATTCGAGTTGGAATTCCTAATGAACTCATTGCTGGAGTCCAGCGAGGCGGATCCTCTGTATGCGGCTGTAATGGAATACTATGAACTGCAGGGGAAGATCACCTCTAATCTGCACGATGTAGAGAAGCTGCGCAAGGACTGCACCGAGTCCCAAAAACAAATCTGGGTCCGCCAGCCAGTTACACGTACTTTCAGTGGAACCTGCGGCGATGGCAATGTGGTCCAGGAATCCATCACCTACGAGTAAGTCAAGTCTTACTTCTGGCACGAATTTTTCACCAAAATCTCTTTCGCAGTGTGATAAAGGTGGATCCCATTAAGCTGGAACTGGCCCAGACGGCTTTAACTGGCCTATATGACATGGTGTGCCACGCGTATACCAACAACGCGATTACAGCCAAGATAACCAAAGTAAAGGTGGACCAAATAATCAATGAGCTGCTGACCTATCCCAATGTAGATGACCAGTCGGTGGTTTCATTGAAGTACACACAATCTGGACAGGCACTGGAGTGCGTTTCCCAACTAAGGCGAGCCATTTCCATACTTTTCAGCTTCGTTCGCAGACCCAGTCCAAATGCAGTAATTCAATGCTTTAGAGAAAAAAGTGTGAGAACATATCTAATACCTTATTACCCCATCAGAATTTCGACAAAGACCTCAAGGAATGGCTGCGCAAGCTGATTGCTCTGCAACTGTTGCTGGCTACCAGAGAGGATCACTGGTTCCTTCTATTTAACATCTTGCGCTGTCCCAATGGTGTCGGATCCTGGGCCGCCCAGTTCCTGCAATTGCCTGGAACGCGAGCAGGGCGCCGTGGGTCCCAACAGAACGAACTGCCACTAGAGCTTAACTCTCCCGAACTTAACCACTGCATGGCTGTGCTGCAGATTTTGCTGATGCCCGTGAAAAAGCGAAACGAATATCTCAAGAGTCAGACTCAAGCTCACCGCGAACTTTCTGCTACGGGAGCCACTGATCGCTGGATAGTGGTGGATTCCGATGGCGAGGACTCGCACACACCCGCCGGCGAATGCGTAGGCCTGAAGGAAAGCGACCTGATCGCACTACTCAATCAGTTGCCTTTCGAGAAGATCTTTACGTGAGTTGGAATGCCTACATGTGTAATTTGATTTGTTTTTAAAATGGCTAATCCTTAGCTCGGCACTGCGCATTGAAAAATTTTTGGACGACTATATTCTCGAACCGGATATGATCACGGCCCAACAAATGCTGTCCGTGGTAATCTTTTTTTCCCAACTGGTCAAAACCATGGGTGAAGGATTGCTGACCTACAACAACGAGCGATATAAGCAACTGGCAAAACGACTTGGTCGGCTGGTCCGACATACCCTGCAATACGTGTTCGATTACAACGAACTGTTCATGTGAGTACTATATCACGTTAATTTGTGTTTATTTACTTAACTACCGCGCAGAAACAACAACCTCTTCAAATCCTCTGAGATGTACGAGCGCATTCAAGTGGAATTACAAGCCTTACTTGTACGCGCCTGTGGCTACATCTACCGCACCCGAAACCTTGGCACCTGGCAATACTTTTCCACGTTGCCCTTCGCCACCTTGGATGCAGAAGTGATCTGGCACTTGTATTACTATCTAAATGTGGGTTTTCCCACGGATTTGGCCAACGATTTAGTGAGCAATGCGGAGGCAGCCTTTCAAGCAGAAGACTTCTGGCGCAAATTCGATCTAGCGAATGCCGACGTGGCGCCCGAGGATATGTACTACCTTTTGCAGACCTTTTTTGAGATGGCCAATGAACGAAACCGCTCTAAGGATGGAAGTCTCGTCAAGGCAATCTGCCTGCACATCTTCCACATTGGATATATACATCAATCCACGAGGGAAATTTGCTATAAAACTGCGCGTGATATGCTAGCCAACTTAATGGATGAGGATTTGTTTAGTTGTTTATTGGTTCAGCTGAAAATGCGATACGGAGAAGTAGATCAAGCGGCTTATCTTTTTAAAGCTCTGCCCCTGGAAAACTGGCACCCCAGCATGGATAGCTTTGAGGTGCTCTCAAACTGGCTTCTTCACTTTGACTACCAGTCTTCGGAGAGTCATTTAGCTCGTTTGATCATCAGTCACTTGAACTGGGGATTGGACTGCGAGGGCCGACTTTTCCTGCCACACAACATACACGTGAGAATGGCTCACCTAGTGAATGAATCTCTAAATAAATACGCTCCGGAGGTTATTGGTGCCTCCGGCATTTCTGAGAGCGTGCGTCAAGTGTCTTCCCTCATTGATTCCACGCAATCTAGTCGAGAACAGTTTACGAACTGGTGCTGGCGCATGGTCTCCGTCTTGCGGCTTCATCTGATGGACCAAGGCGTGGAGTCCGTAAAGCGCACTCTCCAACATCCCACAGAACCACTACTTTTTATTCCCGAACTGGAACGAATGGAGTTGATCTTCCAGGGTGTTAATGAGAACAGACCCCTGGCTTTGTACGTGGGTATGTTGGTCAGCCTACATGGCCATTCTATTCCGCTGATCTGCCAGCACGGATTTAACCTTCTTCAGCAACTTCTGCTGGATCACCGTCACGCGGCCACAATTCGCTGCTTGGAGTTAATCGTACCATTGTTTTTGGAAACGCCAGAAACTCTGGCCAATTGTGAAAGGTTCGCTGTTGAATCGAGAATTTGTTGATTCAATAGTATAATCTATTCCAATTCTAGTTTTCAGAGACTTATGACTACTCTACTAAACGCAGATCGTACCTACTTAAAGCTGGCTAAGGACATGGTCTACGCAAATTCGATTGGCCCCATTCTGGAATTACTAGATAACATGTTGCACCATCAGATTATCTCGTACACAAAGTAAGCCCAAATTTTATCATTCATTTTTGAATAGTTACAAAGCTATATTATTTTGTTGGGACAGCTATGGACTTTGCTCACCGCTTAATCTTCTCAACATCTGGCTCAACTGTTTTACCACACTGCCAGGATGGTCGCAGAACTCCAATTTATTGTATCTTCTTGACAGAATGCTACGTATCTCGTACCAGTTTCCCGACTGCCGTGCTCAAGCTGTTGAATTTTTCTACAATTACTACAAGGTAAATAATCTAATCAAGGATGCGTACTTGAAATTCTATACAGCTAACTAATGTACATTTTGTCTACACCACAGGATTGCACAGAATGGAAGTCGGCACCTAAAGGATCAGCTCTAAAAGCTTTCTTCGGCGGACAGTCTGTTTCTCGCATTCCCGTAATCTCGCCCCAAAACTGCTGGCTGAATTTAGTGATTCTTGAGATTGAGTTCCGTCTAGTAGACACGCGAATCTTTCCCGAACTTTTGCGACAAATTTCCGCTCAACCCGTGGAAGTGGCTCTCAAAAAAACCATCTCCTTGAGCAAATCCAACAGCTTTCCCGCCAGCCAACTGGTGATATTCAAATACGCCCAACTGCTGGCCAGCATGGACAGCACTCACGCCCTATTTCCTATCGTTTGTCAAAAATTTTTCGAACTCTATCTGTGGCGAGTGCCGACAGAAAACGAATCGCTTAACTTTAGTCACAATTTTGGGGTATCTGACAAGTTTTACGAATATAATGTGCCTTTGATGAAGAGTATTAAGTCCCAACTGAAGTCTGCTGACTCGTACTATTCTGCGCTAGCAACCAAAAACGCCAGTGATGATGCCATGGCCCACTTCTATCGAAATTGTTGCAAGCTAATGCAAAACTGCGCGCTTTGGCTGGAGGAAACTCAAATAAATCACTTTACCAGTGATGCAGAGCACCTGCCCGCCCAGTACAATTCCGAGAAGCTGCGCGAACTGTTAAGTGGTCATGTCAGCCACTGGACGGAGTTCCTGTGCCTCGCTTCGTTACGCAAGGAGCAACGCCATCAGGCTGATCACTGGGCCCGAAAAGTGATGAGACTTCCCAACCAAAAGGCTCCCAGGACACCAGTGCAACCAAAGCCGCGACAGCCGCCTGCTCAACACATTAAAAGCCTGCTACATAGTTACGAGAAGATTGTTGAGAATCCAGTGCATGTTTGTGTGGAACCTACCAAGACGCCGCTGATCGATGCAAATATTGTTACTCAGATTCAGAAAAAAATGAACACGTTGAACTCAACGGCCAAGTAAGAAGCAAACTTTTTATAGTCAGTTTTTATAATCATTTAATTTTTAGCAACTACCATTATAAGACGTCCGAGTTAAATTCGCTGAACCTGAACTATTTGGAAAGAGTGCCAACACTCTACTCGATGATTCCCTATGAAGAAACCAGGCGAAAGGAGTGCACATCCCTGCTCTTCAAGCGAAACTGTACAGCTCCTGCCCACATAAAACTCACTCCGGAGCATATACGAATCAACGACGTTATATCCCGAAAACAAACGCAGAATCGAGAAAGGCATGATAAAATTATTGACGATCTATTGTTGGCCATGAATGTAGACAGTTTTGCTCAAGCCCTCGAGGAGTTGGGCGTCTGTATCGGTGCCCTACTGGTTGCCCCGTTGGAATCAAGAGTCACGCAGATAGGCGTGCAGGTGTTCTATCACATAGTGGATAACCTAAACGAGGTGACAATGAAATTCCAACCAACACATGACCTGTACTTTCAAGTATTGGAGAAGCTTGGGGTGAGTAATATATTTGTGATTGCCAAGATGTCATTTGATCAATTGTATTTCTCAGATGTTTCTGGAAGCAGACCAGGCCACCCAGGGATTGGCGGTTCTTCGTCTGGCGCTCAAACGACCCGATCTTTTAGAGCTGCTGGCCGGAGTCTTTGTGCCCAGCCGCACTGACGTGGATCACTTTCTGCCCATGTATGAGTTCCTTATTGACTCGCATCTCAAGCACTGCGACACACAGACTCTGTTCGTACTATTCTCGAAATTCGACCTTTTGGGATGGATGGAGGCCTATCAGCCAAAACTGAGCGAGATCAACCGTCTGCTTCTGCTGGTTCTGCAGGGACTGGAGGCATGGTCTCAGCCCGATAGCAGTCTTTTACAAGATCTGTTCCGTAGGCATCTAGTCCATATTTTTGGTTACGATTTCCCACAACACTACGGCGAGGTAATGCAGCTCGTTCTGGACCGCACGTCGGATCAAAAACTTATGCCAGTTGTTCTTGTGGACCTGTTAAACGCGTTGTTTGTCCGCTCCAACTGTCTGGTGTTGTCTTTGGAGCAAAGCGAAGTGCGGGTGCACGAACTTGCCTTGGACTTTGCCCGACATCAAAAGTTATTTACCCTGAAGGCGGCAACGGACACACTTCTGCTGTTATCCCGACATTTTCAAAAGGAGCGCCTCCATCATGGACTCCACGGACTGTATCCCAAGCACAAGGATTATTGCCAGGCGCTGGTCCTGTGGTTCACCTCCTTCGGTCATACGCTTCTCGCTTCGGCCATTTGCAGCTATCAGGCGCTACTAGCTGATCAAAGTAAGTTGGACACCATTTCCGCAGTATCTATATATTAATATTTCCTCTCCGTTTTTAGTCAGCGATATCGTGTTTGGATCTATTGTGGAGATGTACAGCCCCTGGCTAATCCCCTATACCGAGGAAACGGTTAGTGGCGTAGCCCACTGGATTCGCCAGCTGACTCCTGGACAAAGCCAAGTGCTCTTACCATGGAGCGAGCAGCATGTGAGCAGCTCCAAACTCATGATCCGTTCCTTCGTTGCCACCATATTACAAGTAGTGCAGTATCTGCCTTCGTCGAACAAGATTCTGGAGCACGTATTCGCCTGGTACGTGCATCACTTTGCCCAACCGAACACAGCTGGCCACGTGCTGGCGCCCATTCACGAGGGATTGGCTCAATTGCCCTGGGAACGTTTCCTACCACCGGCACAACACGTGGAGCTGCTCTATGATAGCCTGCAAAAATTTCTGCCAGAGTCACACGCCATGCTGGGTCACATATTCATTCGAATTGAGTGGAATAATTGGTTTGCCCAGATGCCCCAGCCAGTGTCGATTCTATCCCGACTTTTCAACATATTCGTAAAGATCGCCTTCGAACCGAACATTCACATTCACCCCAATACGAGCAAGATTCTGGAGGATGCCATTCATTATCCATGGCATTTGGTGGAATACAGTGAGCTGGAGCAGCTGCTCAAGTGGTTCGTGGCCAGTGTGGAGCCAGCCATTGCCCTGAAGATCCCAGCCGAGAGTAACTATGCGGACCGCGCTGTTTTGGAGTACGTAAAAGGGCATGAATGTACATTTTTCCTTAATTTATCCAAACTGTTCATTGGTGCAGGCTCCTTCGCCTGGCTTGTGCCATGTTGCCGGAACGCTCTGCGCAGGATGCCATTGTTCTGGGTACCGCCAAGCGCATGCTCTACACCCGGTCCATGGTCCGAATGCAGCGAGCATGCGGAGCCAAGCACAACAAGTTGTTGGCCACGAAGGAGGGCGAGCGTGCCTTTAGTAACGCATTCCTAGAGCTGCTGAATAGCATCGACGGAGCCATCAGCAGCTGCAGTGAGCATCGTACAGTGGAGGAACAGCGTAGAGAAGCAATCAACCTGATGCTGGAGCTGGTTGCGCCCACCCAGACGCAGAGCCAGGAAGTGTCCAAGTATAAATTACTCGATAGGTCTACATTTTCAGTCTAACCAATAACACTTACTGGTTTTCAGCATACACATAAAGGCTCTTGTTTGGTGGCAGCAGCGTTGTTCTCCGGGCAACCTGGTCATGTGCTCCACCCTGCCCGCCATCGGTCACCTCAACACATACATCGCCAGCATTTATTCGCTGTTGGAGACCAGCATAGAGAACTACTTTCGCACCGCGCCGGAGAGCGCGCCGTGGCACGCGCCCAGCTGGCAAGGTTTAATAGAGGCACTGAGCATGTCGCTGCCGAAACTAGACCTTATGCCGATCATGCAGGGCAGCTACTTCTTCTCCCTGCATGTTTTCGTGGTCTACAAGATGGAGGAGATCGCGACGGATGGGGATAAGGTGACCTTCTTGCAGGACCTCACCCAGTTGCTGGAGAACTTGAAAACCAGCCCACTGACAGAACCGCGGATGGCCCTAGTTTGGGGCGTGGTCATTGCACGGGGCTGTCAAATTGCGCAGATCAACCAGCAGGTGAAGAAGCCACTTCACATGCTGGCGAGGCACCTACAGATTGCATCAACTAAGGCAGAAGGCTGGGGCGATGGTCTGCTGGGAGTGATCGGTCTCAAATCGGAGGTTATTACCAACAGGTTTGTTTTATGAACATTTAACAATGAAAATCCGTAGGGCTTACATTGCCGAATCAATTTTCAGACGAAAAGTGCTAACCCGTTGCTTGGCTTGCGTGATCTTCTCGCTGTTTCCGGCCAATCGGGACCTTCGTTTGCCATCAGACGAGTACGAAAGTGCGCTCCGGGAGCTATCTATGCTGCTGGCCAACAAGAAGTTCACCGACATCAAGCCCTTGATCGTTCGGGCCGTTAGCCTGCTCAAGGAAACCACATTTCCCGATATCCGGGCCGTACCTCATATGGTCTGCCGACTAATCAGCATCTTCTACGAGGAGAGCTACCTGACAACCATTCCAGAGGTCTGGGACTTTGACTTCAAGTTGATTGCCACGTAGCTTACCGACCAAGAGGATTATTCTAACCATCTTAACAGCCAGTTGTGTTATTTTCCAGGTGTTATATATCATCTAACTAGGTATAGGGTAAATAAAGTGATCAATTTTAAGCAATTTTCAAAATTGCAAAACACATAATCGTGAACATTTATTTATTTATCCTAATACAAATACTTCAGGAGCCATAAACTCAATATTGGTTTTAAATCTTGTAGACTATAACTTTATTTGATATACATGTCTCGAAAGTGCATACTTGAAGCTATTTGTTTAAGCGTAGTTACAATGACATCATCGACAATCATGACGGCAATAATCCAATTGACGGCAATGTACAAGAAATTTAATGATACAATTAAATGAACTTTAAACAAAATATAAATACGTAGGGCTAGACGAACGATAACAAATGAACATGAAATGACTACTCTTAGGTATTGCTACATGAAAATATAAATAACGATAGGGCTTCGCTCGGAACGAGCAAACTGAGGCGAAGGCAGCCGGGCTCCGCTTGGCAATCAGTCTTCTACGGCAAAGTTGGACAGCTGCAGGTGCTGAAGGTTGTTGCGTGCATCGAAGTATCCCGTATCAGTGGGATTGTCTGGTGTTGGGACAAATGGTGGCTCGGTATTGCCAATATTCTCCCAGTCGATGCACGCAAAGTGACGCATTTGCTGCACTTCCTTTGCGGCCGGTCGCTCATTGGGATCCATGGTAAGGAGCAGTTCCACAGCCTCCATGGATTCGACGGATAATGCCTCATCACCTTCTGGCCATTCGATGTCTGCGAGGCATTAGTAACAAAAATATATATGCTAGGTATAAGAAAACTCTTTAAAAACACTAAACTCACTCTTATTCAGAATGTTGTCAAATACTTTCTGAGGTGTCTCGTCGTTGAAGGGTGGAATGCCGGTCATGAACTCGTAGAAGCAGACGCCCAGAGCCCACCAGTCGACAGCAGGACCGTGACCTTGCTTCAGCAGTAGCTCCGGAGCCAGATAATCGGGTGTGCCCAAGATGCGTTCGTTAGACACGCGAGCACCGCGACGCACTGACTTTGGCGTGCGGAATGGCGTATTGATGTTTACGTTTTTCGGCGTCTTTGGTAAGTTGCCGGCTCCATGATTGATAGGCGACATCGTTGGATCGTCTGACAGTTTCAGGTGATACTGAATGCCTGACATCTTATCTGCGGCCGCGTGCTCCCGTTTCTTGTTTTCGATGGACAGGGGAAGAGCGAACCGAGTGGCCTTCAGCTTTCCGAGAAGACCCCCATCACGACGTGGTAACTTCTGGGAAGATACAGGCGTAGAGAATACCACGTTGGCCACGTTTGCTTCCGGACCAAGCAGATGAGTCATAGGCAACTCGTCATCGGATAAGGAGCGCACCTTTAGCACACCACGGATCGGCGAGGAACGGGCCTTGCGCTTTTTGGGCGTGCTGCTGCCAATATTGAGGATTTCGATTTCTTGCGTAAGTCCGGTGTTGGTACTCCCATTGCTCGAACTGCAGCCATCGGTCTCCAAGCCGGACATGTTGTCGGAGCGATTGACCAGATTGATCTTTCGCTTCATGCCGCGCAGGAAGTCGGGGCGCTTAAAGTGCTTGGACAGATTGCGAAACGGCGAGTTCATGTTGATGCCGCTCATCTCGTTGCCGTTGGTTATGTTGTAACTGCGCGAGTAATCCGAACAGCTAAAGTCCTCCTTGGATTGGCTCAGGTTGTCCCCATTTTTCTCAATCGACGAAGCCGTACTCTCGCTATTCAGATTCAAGTGGCAGCTGGAATAGTCGTCGCCCTTGCGACTGGACACTCCTGAATCCTCCTGCACCTTTGAGATGCGATTTCGCTGAGGGAATAGTAGAGGTAGTTATTAACTGGACTACGTGGACTATGTGGCTTACATATTAAACTTTTTTAAATTTGGTTAGCATTAGGTTAGTTCTGCGAAGAGGGTTATAGAATACAAGCATTTAATACAGAAAGGGACACCGCACAAAGGACAGACACACACTTATGCACATGCCAACGCACCTCGTCGACCGATCGCCTGCGCACCATGGAAAACTCAAACGAAGCCTCGCTTGCGTTATCTATCTTGGGCAAATGTTTGCCTTCATTGGCGACCATGTTGCTGCTGTCTTGCTCGGCCAGCTTGCAGCCCTTTCAGAGAATCAACCAATTATGCAAATAAATACAGAGGTGACGGGTTTGGCCGAGTTTTAGCCACTCACCTGACAGGGGACCGCATCCAAGACGAATTCCACGCGTCGCTTGCTGGGGATCGCATTGACCGCAGCATCATCATCTTTAGCCTCCAGCGGTGGTGAGCACTTGCTCAGGTCGGCCGAGTTACAAGTGTGGAACGAACAAGACGAGCTGCTGTCCTGGGGCTGAAGATTCAGAAAATACTATGTGAAGTAATCCGCTTTAATTACATTAGGTTTTCCCACACTTACGTTGGTAGTGCAAGTATGAGTAATGGATTCATTGGCCTCCTCGGCAGAAAAGAAGGGGGAAACTCCAGATATCTTGCTGTCGCTCGTTTTTTCTGCATCATTGAGCGAAGTGTCACCCTCGCTATCCGAAAGCTCCATTATCAAACTTTGCTTGTTAATGGCCTGCAGCAAGTTGGATGTCCCCGTGGTCGCCAGGCCCATTCCGTTGCTCTGCGCGCTTGAAACTGAACCGAAGTCCTGCAGTTTCTTCTCGGAGCCAAAGGACAGGTGCGAGGTGAGGGACAAAAGCTGTCCTGGCGTGCGGGCGTTTAAATTCGGTGAGCAGTTTATAAGGTCTGATATTTCCAGATCTCGTCGCATATCGATCTTGCTCAACCCAAAATCCGTGAGCTTCACATGACCACTGGCTGAGAGCAACATGTTGTCTGGTTTTATGTCTCTGTGGACAATTCCGTGCTGATGTAGATACTGCAGCGCCATTACCATCTCGGCCACGTAGAACCGGGCCGTGGGCTCGTCAAAATACCCAAACATGGCCAGTAGTGACTTGAGATCCCCGCCCACCATGTACTCCATCACCAGGTAGACGTAGGAAAGCGATTGCAGGGAGTAGAAGAGACTGACACAGAACTGGGAGCGGGATAGGGCCAGGGCATTCCGCTCGGTGATCACCTGGGACACCATGTTCTTGTTGATCATCTCCGACTTGCGCATCACCTTGATGGCGAACAGCCGCTTCGAGTCGTTGTTCTTGTAGCCCAGGAACACTTTTCCGAAGGCGCCGCGGCTAATTGGCTTAATGATGACAAAATCCTTGATAGTGGGAAGCTGTACGAGGAAGGAAATGAATCCATTATTATGCAATGAAATGTTAAAACTGCTGATAGTTGATAAAAATCATTCATTTCTATAACCCATGATAGAATTAATGTCTGTGGATAAAAACGGGCAAGGTAAACAATTCAAAACTTAAGTTGATTCTAGTTTTCAGAAGAGATCTTAGAATATATGTATGTATATGTAAATACATATATAACTGGATAGAACAAGATAAGTAAATAGACAGTAAGAGGAAATGAAGAAAGGAGCAATGTAAAAAACAAGATAAATAAAACTGTAAAATTTTGATTGTAAAGGAATATCATACATAACCGAACATAAATAACACAAAAATATGATTTTTCCATTAAGCCTTTACAGTTTACTGCTCCTTTAATCCATTTACACTATGTTTTTGGCGCATTTCAAATTTTCTTCAGGACTAACTGTAAACCACCCACGTGTGGCAATCGCCACTCTGCGATTCCTGTGCTTACCTTAGCATTCTGGGAGTGATTCTCCGGCTTGGTGGTGAGGATGTTGATCTTGTCCAGCAACTGCTGACTGTCGATCAGCGAGTGGGTCTTCTTGGGGGTTTTGTAGTCGATGTGGACATCCGATTGCGAGGTCGCATCGGCGTTTTCCATATCTTCCAGGTTTCCAACGGTCAGAGAGCGATTTTCTCGCGGCTTGGCACAATATATACAATTATCGTATAGGGGTACACCCTGTATATAATTCGATGTGAACGTAGCGCTATTAGCTTGTTTATTGCATAGTTTTTATTTTAAACATACATTTAAAACAGCGCGTCTATTTTCTACTACCTGAACTAGGGGTGGAACTAATTCGATTATTAACACTTATATCGATGTTTCTCGAAATTTTATAACATCGATGTTATTGCAGTAACAGAACATTAAAAGAATTGTTTATTAATATTAATGTGTTTTAAATTAAAAGCCCTTTTATATTTAAATTAAATATATTTACAAATACCGATTAATTTCGATAGCTATTATTTCTTATCGAATCCAAGCTCGCTTTGCAACACTTCCGTTCCACCTGGAATTTATTTACGTGCTGAAATTCCGAGTTTTTTTGTGATAAAACAGCCCCCGATGAATGAAAGTGTGTTCCGTATACCGCCAAACAGACAGTGAGCAATGCGCCATACTCTGTCCTTACCTAACCACTGCCCAGAGTGAGAAGCCGCTTACCAATCCGCCAGAGAAATCCCCGCCAAGAAGATGCTATACCTTCGCCGCCTTTTCAGCCAGGAGCTCTCTCCGGCTGCTCAGGGCGACTTTCTGGGCTGCCTGCAGCAGGCGCCCAGTCTCCTGTCCACCGGATTCCCTGGAGCACCTGCACTGGAGAGCCTAAGTTGGTTACACAACTTAGCGCCATGCTTCCCGCTGCGAGGCGACCAAATACAGGTCATCCACGAGCCAAAGCACTTCTACGAAACGCTGGTGCAGCGCATCGGCCAGGCCAAACGCCGTATAGTGCTGGCCAGCTTATACCTGGGCACCGGGCAACTCGAGAACGCCATGGTTCAGACGTTGCGTCACAGCCTGGAGCAAGAGTCTGCACTGAGGCTCAACGTGCTCTTGGACTTTACACGCGGCACGCGGGGAACCCTCAACTCAAAGACTATGCTGCTGCCCCTGGTCCGCGACTTCGCTAGCCAGGTGCAGCTCTCTCTTTACCACACGCCTGATCTGCGCGGGATGACAAAGAGACTCGCTCCGCCACGATGGAATGAGCTACTCGGACTGCAGCACATGAAGGTCTACCTCTTCGACGATGCCGTGATCATCTCAGGGGCCAATCTGTCCAATGACTACTTC